AAGTTAGGAGTCCAAAATGAAACCAAAAAACACCAAGCAAATATCACATTAAACTTATAAATTTGGTAAATTTTTTTGTTTAAATAGATAGTAGCTATAGTTTTTTTGTAATTTTAGTATAGTTCATTCTAATAAATAAATAAAGACAAGACATATTTATTTAAAAAAAAAAAAAATTTTTTTAATTTTAAAATTTAATCAAATTTGATATATTTTGTGGTATACTATTTAATCCAAAAGTTTGGAAATTATATAGCCAAAAACATGTAAAACTTTTTTTTAAAAAAAGGCTCTAAGCACATTATATATAAATTACATGCACTGGTCAGCTATTAGTATCAGAATTTCAAAAATTCATTATATCAAAATTTGCTAATAATTTCGTTATATTGAGGCTAATTTAAACATAAGAGCTAAAGATAAACTTCATTATATATGGGATCTTTGCTAGAAAAGTCACTCTTCGACATTTTCCAACCGGGCTAATTCGGACACATTCAAACCAATATACCGGTACTTATTTTCATGTAAATCATTTTTGCTTGAATCATTAAGGGTAAAAAATGGTTTACATGTAAATAAGAACAGGTATGTTGGTTTAAAAAGTTCCGAATTAGTCCGATCGGAAAATATCGGATGGTGATTTTCCTAGCAAAGATCCCATATGTTCGTTATATCGAGGTTATACTACACTATGCAATTAGACCTACATAATGTCTCGTGAAGTCATGCCGAGTAATAATATGATCATCGACCGCTACGTCTATCAGATATCATATCACCGCATTCTGGATCAACTTCACTTCGGGAATGTTATGATGACTTTATTTTTTTTTACTTCGGAAACATCATACAGCGACGTTTTTTTTTTTTTTTTTGTTTATTTACGTAAAACAGAACATAAAAATACGAGCACGGTAAACGGGAGTTTCCGGATTATAGTTTATAGTTCAAACATCAGAAATATTATGGGCAGATTTAATTTTTTGAGACAATATTCGACTAAGCCGATTTAGCCGTATCAAAATTATCAACTCGGCAAAGCTTATAATCTTTAATCAACTACAATCACTAACTGCCAAATTTTCCTTTTTTACTTTGCGGCGAACTTTCTGTTATATCATGAGTATTTGTTGAAATTTTTCTCTTCGTCCCAGAATTAGGAGTACCCGGAGTATTTATGGTTTCATCGTCCATATCGACCGCATCGTCGGATATTATTTCTTCTTCCTCTTCTTCGTTTCGTCCTTCATCACTGAACTCTATTTCATCTTCTTCGCTGTCTCCAGCACAAACAATTGGTTCACTTATATCCTCTGCTTGACCCCAGTGCTCCCTATCAACTTCACCACCATAGTATACGAACAATTCTTCGCCCTTTTTAATATCCCGTTTCGTCCAACAAATGACTTGATTGACTTCACTTCCCTCTAGAAAAACCATATTTCCGAATGGATCTTCATTCATAAAATGGAAAGGACAATGTATCTTACCATTCGGATCTGTGAATGGTTCACCTTTATCATCAGTTGCGTCAAGTATTGTATGTTTATATCTCATAGAGTAATGTGATGCCCTGCCAACTTTATCCTTATTCTGGTCAAATTCATCCTCCATAGTTGGAACGCCAAAATAAAAGCCTAAGGGTGTTGCCATTGGAAGATTACGTTTGGCAAACAATCCATTACCTGCATTAGGAATTGTAGATGGACGAATCTCAACCACATCATTAAGGCTTTTTGGAACACAAGTAAGATCTAATCCACTTAGAAGTACATCTGTCGACACAAGTGCACATGTCTCGTGTCCATTAGAATAATCATCAGTTTGCTGCCTTTTTTTGGAATGAGATACAGACTTTTTCTTATGTTTTGTACCATTAGATGAATTTTCACTGTTTTGAGAATTTGAAGTAGATTTGACTGCAATTCTCGGACGCTCACGTTCTTTATGCACCCCTGGCCGCAGGGGGTAAATGCATAAAAACCCTTTAGATTTACATTTTGAACAAGCTGGCAATTTTACATCACAACTCGTATCGGGTGCGCAACGCCGACATCGCAGATGTTGAGGATTACTTGCGCCTACACTGAGCATAACTGCTCGTCCGCAATTTATTAATTTCGTACCTAATAATTAAATAAAGCATTGGTAAATAATAAGAAATATTAATCAAAGAATTAAACTTACTAACCTTGCTTATTTTTTTTCACACGCCCAAAACATAATGGCCAATCATGTTCGATTAATTTCTTCATCCAATTATTATAATGTCTTATAGCATCGTCGATGTCCTCAGGTATGAAAGCAAGTTTGTAATATGACGTTTGTGAACGATCTTTTTTGAATTGTATAAAATATTTGTCTGCATTAGTCGTTAAGCATGAGCTGGCCGAATTTCTTGGCGTCTAATGTAAGTAAGAAAATTAAGTCAATAAAAAGTTATGCAATGCAAAAATTTATAAATTTTGCCATTTTTGATTACTATGAATGAAATGTAAACTAATGCAAAGTTATGATATTAAACAAGTAACAAACCACAAAGCCTCGACATTACTCAAAATCGATAATTTAGTCACACACCTGACCAGTAAAACATCGCGGTAAGCCTGTTTCCGCGCTTAATTTTTCATCTAAAGCCAATGCGGCGTCAATCAAATCTGTACGTGACATTGTATGGTCTTTAGCGTTTTGTAAAGTTAAAAGCATCATATGTTGTTGATTGTGCCATCTTGGTCTAAGTAATAGTGGTTTAAGCCGCGGTTGGCGGTTTTTCTCGAACTCTTCTGTGCCAACTTTATCCTCATGTTCTAAAGGTAGTCCTTTTGGAAAATAATCTAAAAACAGCTCTTCCAGATCTTCTTTATCGCAACTTAATATATTAGGTTTTATAAGATCAAAAAATTTTAAACCCTTCGCGTTAGCAACATCTTGTATACGAGAAAAGAAATATTCTACACTAGTTTGGATTTCTTTGTCCATAGATAAATTCCTTGTAATGTCATTGACATGAGGATAGACGATATACACATTACGATCAGAATTATATTTTGCGGTACAGTCTTTGAGGAAGGTTGAAAGTGCCTCGCGTGTACCAATCCAATCCCTGTGAGATTGTGCAAGGACAGTTCTAGCAACATCAAATAGATCTGGTTGAATTTCGATCGAGGATGAACCACTCAGAGCATCTTGAGGCGCTAAAGTTGCAATCATTATTTCACGTATTCTTTCGGCTCTGTCGCCAGTTGCGCAATCAGGATTAGGTGAAATTGTAAGAAGTTTTTCTACCAAACCAAATCGACCCATATCATCGAGCCTTGATAGCCTATTGATCGCATTTGCAAAGACTTCCAACGGGAGTGGAGACAAAATCCTTATGGCAATATCTTTAACGATGTCCTCCCAAGCTTTTTCGACGGTTAAACCCTTCTGTAACTTTGGACCAATTCGAGGTTGTAACCATTTTTTCAAGACATCTGATAATTCTGCATCTTTACTTTCTTTACGTTTTTCATGGTTACTACTGGACATCATTTCGAATAATTTTTACGCGAACTTCGTGGTGTAACGTGTTTTGTTACTGAAAATATAGCTCGCGACGTATATACGTATATCTACTTATATCTGCACCAAACTTTACCGAGCTTTCAAAATTGAAGTGGTCACTTTATATACTTATGGTGATGATCACGTGTTTATGATATATCCACTAACCGATGATCACGTATATCAATTGTTTATATTATGTGCTACTTGAACTTTTAGAGAGTTCGATTAATTTTGGAGAGGCGATCTTCAAACAACTTGATACTTTCAGATGGCAAGCATTGTATTGTGTTGATTTTTCTTTGATACGCGTCAAGCTAAATGAGTGCTTACAGATTTCATCACTTTAAAGGAAACTCCAAATTCGAGCTTATTATCTGGTGCTGCACCCTTTGCGATCTCAGAAACCTTGGAGCCAGATGTTGAGGCTGCTCAAGGAACAAAGGCCAAGGGTAATACTACACCAACGGTACAAACAGAACCTGCACGAACAAATGACAACATTCAGAGTCAAAGTCAAAGTCAAAATCAAAATCCAAGTATCTGGGAACAGTCCAGGTAAAACTTTTCTTATTCATACCTTTTTATAATTAAAAATTAGATCATAGATAACGCTATTAGATTGAATCTATTTGCATACTTATGATGAATTTATTTATATCTAGTCATCCAGTGGCGCTAGCTTTCCACTTATTATTTCGATCATTAGCCGTAATTTTCTATTTATTTGGAAGTCTCTTCAGCAACTTTCCTCTAGTATTCATTATCTGCGTGTTATTATTAGCTTTTGATTTTTGGACAGTTAAGAACGTAACCGGAAGATTATTGGTTGGATTAAGATGGTGGAATGATATTCAACCCGATGGAACTAACGTTTGGATGTTTGAAAGCCGTGATGTAATTTTTTTTTTTCATGATTAATTCAGAAAAAAAAAGTCATCAACAATAATTTAATCGAATTATGTTTTTTATAGCCCTCACGACCCGTCAATCAAACAGATTCCCGCATTTTTTGGACCTCGCTTTATTTGTCAGTAGTTATATGGATCTTACTTGCTTTCTTTGTTTTAATTCAACCAAGTTGGCTTCTTATTGTTGCCGTCGCGATAACTTTAAATTTGGCTAATGTAATTGGTTACACACAATGTGATAAAGATGCTAAACGTAAATGGGCAACGGGCTTTGCGGCAAGGGCAGCAACATCAAATCCAAGTCTTGCTGGAAGACTATTTTCAGCAGGATTGGGAAGATTCTTTACTTGATTATATATTAGTATATTACATCTTTTAGTCTAATTTGTATTATAAGAAGACTACTTCAC